CAATTCTATTGGAATACACTATAGTGTATCACAATAGAATTTAGAGTGGACACAAATCCAGAATATGATAAAAATATATAAATCAAATAATATAAAAATCCAGAAGTGATTTCTCCAGAATTTTAACCCAACTGGTTTGTTTACGTCCACTCTCAATTCTATTGGAATACACTATAGGTAACAATGAGTCTGCCTGCGAAATCTGAGGACGTAAAGTCACATCTCGCTTATTAATTAGTTTTTTTTTCTTTAGATTTATGGAATTTGTTTAAACCATTTGTTAACACTCGATGGCATTATAATATTGTAATAACTGTTCGTACCAACATAAAAAGGTAGTACAAAGAAGTAATACTAAACAATGTGTAGATACGAGTTAAGGTAAAAACTCACTTGTAACAAGATCCTTAATCTCCTGGGCAGTGACGTCAAAGCCAGGGCGGCGCACGACACACGCAACCGCCTGCTGCGAATCCATAACGTGTGGCACGCTTGTCACGCACACATCTTGTACGCCCGGATGAGTGCCTATCACCTCTTCTAGCTCGGGAGGGTTTATCTGGAATTAAGAAAAGTAAAATGTGCAACACCAGTCTGCCTCTTTTAGTCAAATTTAGAATATTGACTTTTACAGAGATGGCAAATCTACTTTTTGGCAGAAAAGTACAACCCTTTTTTAAAAGTCCCGAATCCTGGAGACCAGCATTCGGCTACATAATGCAAAATAAAATGAAGGCCGGCCGTTTGCATATAATATTACGAATAGATTATGTTGGAGATATTAAGCGAGCAAAAATACCTAAATATAATTTATGAACAGACGTTTTATTATTTACCAACAATACTTAATTTACTGCAATATTTAATGCGAAATTGAAAGCAAATTGCCGAACGAATTAGTGATGCTAAAAATTATAATTATTTGTTCAAAAAAACTATTTTAATTCAATAAAATCGGATGGCAAACTGCCATAAAATTTACAAGAATTTAAGATCATGATTCATGAAAGGAGTTTCTTAATTTCATTAGGTTATAAAAAAATAAATGGAATGCGATGCGGCAGGATGTATGTATACAGCAAGTTATACAAGCAAGTGAGGGCGGCGGCGCAACAGTCCGATTTTTTTACGATTTCAAGTAAGGGGTCGAATAAGTCGTGCGCCTGATGGTAAGCGACACGCCTACCTGTATTGGTTGCAGTGCCACTCGGAGCTTCAAATTGCAAAGATCAGGATGGGCACTGCTACAACGTCTGTCACTCTGCGACATGAATACTACGCCACCTTCATTGTTTGGTCATTTTCTGTTATTGACGTATACACCCTTATTTTATTTACGTGCTTTCCGAATTTTGTGAAAAAAAAATAAAGAAACAAAATAAAATCCGAGATGACCATACAAATTTAGTTGGCTGTATCGAGATCGCAAGTCCTATGTGCACGTATCGACTCGTCCGTAGAACAAAGACTGCTTATTCTCGGGACATTGTACATTTCGTTTATTGTTGTTGACTGCGGATATCCACAGTCAAGATCAACTGTTGTTCGATTTTATATTTCCGAAACGAAATAATAAATACATAAAAAATCTGGAAACGCCTTCATATACCTAGGCTTTTTGAATAACGAGATTATCTTATAATCTCTTTTCGCTGTATAATCACATCGCACTTTGTTCTTCGGATGAATCGGTATGTTCACCAGCACCTTTACCTTTCAAAACCAGAACGTAGTAATCCTCACATTACTGCGTATATTACGGCAAGAGTACTTTCCTGTGCAAACTATGTCACAAGGTGCTTTATTCTTAGATACTAAATCAAGAGCGTAATTTTTTTTTTTTTACTTTTGTAGTCACAGGTCGCGGGTTGCCTACTACTTGGACTTTACAGGGTCCAACTCACTTAAATACATATAGGTTGATACATTATCTCTTACATGATATCCTCGACACTTAATAAGCATCTTAATTCTGTCTACGTAGAAATAATTTTCGTTCTCGTCGCGATACAGCAGATCACCAGTCTTGTACCACCCGTCCGTGAACGCTTTCTCAGTCTCCTCTGGATCGTTGTAGTACTCCTATGAAGAAGATTTTTATTTATTTAATATATTCAGATGGTCCTGCGCGGGCGCGTTCCATTTAAATGAAATTTGATTATATTTTTTAACCGACTTCAGAAAAGCAGGAGGTTCTCAATTAGACTACATGTTTTTTTTGTATGTATGTTACGCGATAACTCTGGTATTTGTGAACCGATTTTCATGATTCTTTTTTATTGGAAAGGGGGTACTTCCATAGTGGTCCCATTTCATTTTGAAGGAAATCATCCACCTCTAAGGGTGGCTGTTCACGCATGAAGATTCATTTTTATAAATAGCGCCAAAAATTTTTAATAAGCAATTATTTTAATGGTTGATTTTGCTATTTCTCCAATTCAAGGCGTTTTTCTCTCAATAATCTTTGAGTAGTGAGAACCGATTTTTATTATCTCCAGTGTCAAGTCCTGTATAGTGGCGAATTTAAGGATGTTTCAATAAAACTTAGCAAATAGACGTAATTCCACGTACTTTTGAGGTCAGGATTTTTAGTACTCTGTACTGAGATTATCATGTTTACTTATCAAACTTTACAACAAAATGAATATTAGACAGGATATAGAAACTACTTCGAGGATTCTCTTAATTTTATTAAATATAGCGTCCTGATTTTGATTCAAATGGGAATTGATCCGATCGGGCAGTCTCGAAATCAGATGGGTTTCTGAGCGAGAAGATGAACCTGATTCCTACTATATCTTTCTAATTTGTAAGTTAAATCAATTATTGTTCCGATTAGAAATGACAAAGTTTCCGATCGGCCAGTTGTGAATCGCAATTATGCGCCTCGACTCGGAAAAGATGCAGTTTCCGATCGATAGAGGCAATCAAAATCAAGCTGCAGGAGCTATACTTAATTTTTGACGGAAGTAGCTACTAACCTATTAGCATAATATAACAAGACAAGTAGAATAATTACACACAAACGTAGCAGCGCGGCTTAAATGTGTGCACGCTTGCCACTTGCCTTGTAGGACGCACACATTCGCATAATCTCGTAGTGCACTCACGTCGCATAGAGCAAATTGTCGCACACGCCATTCATTATAATGTAGAATAGAAGCATTCACTTGGTGTTTAAAAAATTATATCAAACACAATACGTGTTTATTGTGGTGATATGAACAAGAGTAATTCAAAGTGAGAATTATTCAGCATTTCATTTCTATTTCATAGTCATACTACTATAATCGAGATATGAACAGTGGCGTATCGTAACGAGTGCCATATGGGGGTCGTAACGACCGCGGCGGTGGCGGCGAGCCCTAATTTATCAAAATTATTTTTTTTTATTTAAAATTAGAAAATAAATTCCACTATTTGAGAAAATGGTATCCGGCACAAGACAAAAGCGCCCACGGCAGGCTAACACAAAAACAGCCGAGGCAAGTCTGCCCGAACGAACTACTTTTGTAATCGTGAAAATAAAGAGCGCAACAAATTTTAAACTTGGCCCAAGGCGGCAAAATCAACGCTGCGCGACTGAATACGCATCCGCGATCCTGGTACAAAAATATCAATACGTAAGTTACTCAAAGTCATCATCATATTATCAAAGGTTGATTCAATCTAGCACGAGAATATTGTGATGAACATTAAAAATTTTTAAATCATGTTTATAACCTTTATGTAGGTACAACTAAAAGTAACAATGTGACAACCCTACACTCCGAGCAATGTGCATGCATTTTCGCTCTGAACAAGTGACAGTTGCCCTACATGGTCTTATTAGTGTTATTAGTATAATGAACCATTTACACGGGGCCAATTGACGAGCCATTCCACAAAGCCCACTAGTGAAAATTGCGAAATTCGCAACGTCCATCTATCTACGCTACACCCTGTATTACCTACAATAATTTCTTTATGATTATTTACTAAATGGTAAAGTAAACTGTAGTCTGTTCCAATCCATTTTGAACAAAAAGTAAACAAAATTGTTAGGTTAAAATTCTAAAGTAATCACTCAATAAATCGAATAAGTAACCCTTTCATATTTCGAAGATTTCGACTTGATATCGCATCACTTTTTCTAACAATATTCATTTGAATAGCATCGTAAAATCGTATTTGAAAAATGGTGGTCCAAAAGTGAGGTTATTTTTCAACTATACAACTATGACTTGTCTGTGGTTGCGTAGTGCTGTACGAAAAAAAAACATTCGGTTCATTTAATTAAAGCTTTTGTAATCAATTAGTAAATCGAATATTTCAATCGCAATCGAACGAGTGTTTAAGTTAAGAAATGTTAGATATGCATAAATAGGTTAAGTAAGGAAAACCGCTAGTACGACTCAATTGAACAAATCAATTCATTCAATTAATTAATCGATTTGTAGTTGGCATTACAATTTGCCATCACTAAGCCGTAAACAAATAAGTCACTGACCCGACCGACCGTAGGGGTCAGTGACTTATTTGTTTACTTTTTGTTTAAAATGGATTGAAAACGAAGTTTAGTGGACTAGCTCCGGATGTACGTTCACACAAGGCCATTACATGAGCCAATTCAAAGCAGTGTGGTTGGACCGAAAAACTAGAAATCGTTCTAATTTAGTGGGTTGTCTTTATCACTGGTCTGGAGACATTCTATAATAATAATAATAATAATAACGCACACTCTCAACACAGCTCCGCACTAGGAAAACCCTGTGTCGCGGGTGCCATGGACACACACATAGACAACACAAATTACACCCAAACTCACGAGAGAAATAAATGTAGTCCATACAAATATTTCTCCCGGCCCGGGTATCGAACCTGGGACCTCTGCGTGGCTGTCCGGCATTGTTACCGTTCGACCACTGAGGCAGTATAATGGATTATCTTTATTGACACGACGCCAATAATGGTGCATGCCATATTATTATATTATAGCTTTTGCAGGCCGTTGAACACTCTTTTATATTTTCCACATTTAGGTCATCTCGTATTTTTCCCCTTTGCTTTGGAACCTATCCGCGTACAAGGGTATAAGTATCTTTTTTCCAGCATATCGGGAAGTGTGCGTTCTATTTCTATCAGTGAGGCGAAAAGAGTAGCTTTATATATATAATGTACGGCAATTCCCGTTTACCTATGCAATTAGTCACCGCATCACATACGTTAATTGCCAGAAATACAAACCGTAAAAACAGGTCCTTTGCACCATAATTCCCCCGTAACGTTTGGCTCGGTAATTTCTTGACCGGTCTCAGGATTTACTAGCTGTAAATAAGTGTGATGAGAATCTTTAAATTTCGTTTTACAATGAGTATTGTTGGGTATATTTAAGCAAATATTGCAACATTTAAGCGTGAAACACACAAAGAGCGGGTGCGGGTCGGGCGTTTGTCGGGTCGGGACCGCGGCGGGTCTAATTCCGTGTATTTATATTAGAGATGGCACGAATAGTGATTTGGCGAGATATTCGACCTCGCTCTCGGTGGAAGCACTCAATATTCGGCTGCTGAATGTTCGGCGTAAGATCTGTGCATTTCACGCGCGACCTTTTACGATCTGTCTTATTGCTGCGTGCGAACTTAACGGAGGTGGGGTGTTTTTGTTGAAAAATGATAAAACTATAGAATCAATACATGACAATTTCTGGACCTGTTTTGAAGACGTCACTACAGATAATATACAAAATGATGAGGATGTGGAGAAAAGTTGTATTGCGCATGAAATAGATTTTTATTTGAAACCTTTTCGTCTACATCAGACGGCAGATCCTTACAAGTGGTAGTCAGCAAATGCAAAGCAGTAGTCTGCCAATCGAAACCATGTATCGCAGGTGCCATGGACACACGAATAGACAACCACAAATTACACCCAAACTCACAAGGGAAATAAATGTACGCCATACAAATATTTCTCCCAGCCCGGGAATCGAACCCGGGACCTCCAGCATGATAACCGTTCGGCCATGGAGGTAGTTAAAAGCTGCGGGGACACTGGCTTTATTTCAGAATTTAAAATTAAGCCATTTATCGTATTACTATACGTGCTCTATTTAGTTCAGTTGATATAAAACAATCATTGGTATACGTAAAGTACGTATTGAATACAGCGGTTTTCTTGTAAAATTTTGAGGTAAGTTTGTATATTTTTTCTATCGTGAAAATTGTTAGGGATCCTGTTTTCACACCGATCAGTATATACCCTCAATTTTACTATATACTTTTTTCAAAGTGATTGATCCAAGTACTTCACCGCAAAATCAACCAAAGCCATTTGAGATTGTATAGACTTATAAACGATAAATACAATTAATTATATCATTGAAAGGCATACAATGTCCTTCTTATAAAATTACCGTGAAGTTGAACACCATGTGTGGTAATTATGGTGCACTTTTTTGTATTAGAAACACTAATATAATTAGGAACTAACTAACTAACCTTAACTTTGGTGGCGGGAGACGCAACACCACATGTCCCCTCTGGTCCTGCTGGATTGGGTTTTAACACAGGCCCCAAAGTTTCTGTCTGTCCATAGGCCTCTATTAGAACTGAGCCTGGACGCATACGGGCCTGCAAATACAATTATTGTTAATAGTGTTAATTCCAGCAAAGCTGAACACGCTACCTAGCAGATCTGGTGTCTGTAGGAACTTCGTTCTCCAAACTGTAATAAATAGTCATTTCAGTGCTTTAGGCGATTATCACACAGCACCTCGCCCCGCGGCGGAGTCTTCACGCGCGCGGTGGCGGAGACGCAGATCTGCGTCAACGCGCGGTTTAGCGGCCCGGCGTCACTTATTACGTATGTACCATACCATACGTATTCGCTTCTCAATTGATCGCCGTAGTGATTGTATATGTAACCGAGATCCTTCTTTGACAAGAATGGTGAATAGTACTGAACTCATTCAGGACGCTATATAGTAATACTGTCTATTTAACTGCCTCTGTGGCCGAACGGTTACCATGCCGGACTGCCACGCAGAGGTCCCAGGTTCGATTCCCGGGCCGGGAGAAATATTTGTATGACCTACATTTGTTTCTGTCGTGAGTTTGGGTGTAAATTGTGCTTGTCTATATGTGTGTCCATGGCACCCGCGACACAGGGTTTCCCTAGTGCGGGGCTATGTTAAGTGTGTGTGTTATTATTATTATTATTATTATTTGGTTATTGTTTACTCAAATAAAAAGACACCGAACATATTGGATTATATCCCTTTTTACGAACCAGATCGATAAATGGATAATTTCAACTTCGTTACAAAGATTTAACAAAATATAAAGAAAAATTTGGTCGATTTTCTATAGCAATATAGCTTTTTCTGAATATCGTAATACTAAGTAAACTGTGGGCCCCTTGAATGAGGATTATTTAGGGCTGTAGAGAAAATGCCTGGTTGAAAATTCTTCCTGAGCTTCTTGTTCTTGCTTGGATCGCGGTCAGATTTGGAATGCCGTCCCGCTACCAACTTTTATATTACTGTTGGCCTGCCGTACCGCTCGCACTCTTTTCAAGTGTGCGACCGGTACCGAGTACTTAATCTATCTATTTGCGAAGTAAAAGACCGAACCATAAATATTTTTAAATATGAAGCTATTATATTATAAGCGGCCGTCCCGTACATATATGTCGATAGTAATAATGTATCTTATTTAATTTTTGCGATTTGTCAGTGGATAGTCTCTCCCTTCTCGAAATATACCTTGTTACTGTACGGACGTGTTTCAATTGTGCTCCTGATTATTACTATATAAAGAACCACATATTTCTCAATTTCAAACATGTGTTTATTAACATCATGTGTTTATTAACCATCATTGTAGATACCTTTGCTTTGGCAAACAGCTCCTTATAAGGCTTAGCTCCTGTCATCATGATGTTCTCAAAACAAGTCAGGTCACAATGCTTCTCATGGCGTAGGATACTCCACAACAACGTTGGACTCATGGTTGTGCTTACTGGCTAAATATAAATAGTTAATTTAAGAAAAAATTGAATAATGGTAACTAGTAGCAAATGCCCTTGAACGGCATGACTCGCAGTACGAGTTTATATGAAAAAATCATAACAAAGGTATTCATGATTGGGTGAATTATATACAGTAGCAGTAGCAACATAGTTATGTATGCTATATTAATAAATTATTTATGGTTGTTTTGCAATATTGTTCGTATGCTCGTTTTATTATAATAATACGTACCTTATACTCATTAATAACATCTATAACATGTTCAATGTCGTCGGGTTTTGAGGTCTGCATTTTGCATATATTCATCATCGAGAGACCGATTGCATTGTAAAAAGATGTTAACCATTGTATTGGAGACAAGTGTAAGTATGTTTTGGATCTGAAATATCAAATAATGTAGTTAATTTAAAATACCATCCATTGTACTAGATAAAACTATTGATCAGGTTGTCAGATTATATCTTGGCAATGTAGCAGAACTTGAGTTTTATAGAAGTCCTGACAACGCGTTGATGTCTTTTTTTTTATGTAAAATAAGAAACAAACAAGCAGACGAGCCACTTGATGGGAGGTAACCATCGTTGCCCTTGGACATCTGCGACATCAGAAGAGCTGCCCATGTGCTGCTATACTTTGAGACCCTTGTTGATTCGCTTTTTGAAGAGTCCATGTCATAACACAAAGGAAATAACTTCAGTAGTGGACATGTCAAAAGTGGACCATCATTTCAAGGTCCAAAAGTAAGGAACACGGGATGTGTGGAAGACTCAAGATCTCGCCTAACAGATACCATTTAAAGAAGGAAACAGTATCTTGGGCACCCTGACGCGGAGTCTGAAAAATGGCTCATTCCTAACTTAAGGACTTCGTAAAGTTGTATAACGTAGGGTATAGTGCAAATACGCGTAACTAGCATTGGATTATGCATTTCCATTTGAGTAATTTAGTGGTCAAAACAAATCCGCGGCAAATGTCGTGGCAAACAAATTAGCGTGATTTATTTTTATACTTAACATCAAGTGACGGGAGGAACAAGTCGTGCGCCTGATGGTAAACTACACGCCTGTTCTTACCCTTGAAAACCGGAACACAGTAATGCTTGGCGGCAGAAATAGGTAAGGTCAGTACTACCCTGGACGAATTCTCTCACAAGGAGTTCTACTGCTACTAAATATGATTATGATTTACGGAAATCTATTGTTATCAGTCCGCAGACAACATAAATTAATGTTTACTTAAAAAATTCATTATTTAATATTTCGGAGCCATTGAAATAACAAAATAATAACGTTAAATCTGTCTCCTGTTAAATACTTACCAATAATTAATTTTAGCAATAATTTGTTTGTCATTTTTATCATCGGCGAATTACCTTACGCCAATTGGAAAATACTTCACCACAAAGACAAGCATTAATAGACATTATAGTATATGCCATCGATACGAGAAGAAGAAGTCGCCTAACAAGCATTCACTGCTGCTGACGTTGGGGCGAATGAATAGGGCGATTTAATGAGAAAGTAACTTGAAATTCAATCTCGGCAGGATATATCTTGAGTATGTACATGCTTACCCGTCAGATTTGACTTGATTCAAATGTATATAGTAAATCACTCGTTCCATGATGATCTGATGCTTCAAAGCCGCTACTTTGGGCCGTCCGTAAGTGCCACTGGTACTTACTAACCAGGCATAGATCTTGTCTTTATTGAATTCAGCAGTACTGATAAATAAGGAACATTATAAAATTAGTTGTATGTAAAACAGTTAAATTAATGAATTGTCTCAATTATTGATGACAAAGGGTCAAGTCACACTGAAAGAGCAGCAGCCGGAGGAGCATTTTTGGTATATAAAGCGAAAGTAAATTTGTTAATAAATAATTTAAGTTAATAAGTTTGAAGCCTTTATCTGGGTAACTGAAAGTCTGTCTGTCTATGGCATCGCAGTCCCAAACGGATAGAGTGATCTTTTTATTTGAAAGCTAATTTAATTGGATCTGGTCCGTCTTTGGGACATTCATTGGACTTGGATGATGTAATGAACAAAAATTGTTTTTTGTACATAAATATTAGTTTATTACTTTATAAGTTTATGAAAAAGAAGGGGAATAAATGGGCAGAATTAGTGATGCAATGGAAGTGCCATAGCGGAAACAGATTTCAAAAGTAAATCTTAGCGGAAACGGAAGCGGATGCGGAAGCAAAAGTGTAAGTTATAGTATTTATTAGTATTTTATAGAAATATCTCAATGAAATAGTTACAACAAGGCTTGTTTTTAGTTTCATAATTGCTCTTAACTGCTAAAATTAGCAAAATGCGCGCGCACCTGTAATCCATCGCGAGCATTATAAACATCCGATTAAAAATCAGTTTTAAAAGTTGCGGAAGCAGAAACGGAAACAGATGTAAAATAGTTGCGGAAGCAGAAGCAGAGATCTGTTGCAATAATAGTATCTATCTATTGAATGAATCGATGAGTGAATCGATGAATGAAATTGATCGATAGTGAACTTACGAAAATGTTTCAATTGGTTCATTTTCTCTATAAATTTCCATGATTTCAGCAAAGTTTCCACTGTCTCCATCGAAGGAGACAATTATTGTATCCAGCTCTAGATCTTCAATCGCTTTTTTATAGTCTTCGTACATTTCTTGTTGACAGTACGCTATTTTTGGTTTAACCGTTTTGAAGAGTAACTTTATTTCAGCTAAAACATATTTAATGCAGATTAGTTAGAGGCGGGCCTATTGCCTATTGGGCCTCAATAGGCCCATTATAAAAAGCTTAGGGCAATCCCTATGCGGGCCTATGCGCATTTCACGGACACGCAAGTACGTCGCTGTACTAGTTAAAAATATAAAGAAGAAACATATTTTAAAGTTTTTCATTTTAATTCAATATAGACAATCAAATCCACCTGTTCTTATTAAAATGCGTATGAATAATGATTGAATCGATTTCAGGAATCCGACTTTAAAAATAAGAATAAAGAAGGCAAGAACGCAATTAGTAATAATTAAAACGTAATATTAACGATTCTGGCATTTTTGGCAAAATTTCACCTTCTTTCACAATTTATCGATAAAATTGTAGACAAATACTACATGACTACTTAAAATTTTATAAAAACTGGCAACCCTGCAAACGTCATTTTACTCCGTCTTCAAAAAAGACGGACTTTTGTAACCAGTTCGACGTTATGATGTATAAAGCCGACGTAATAAAGCCTCTCGTACCTTATTTTTGTGTCATTGATTGTCTCTTTATGGGTATAAAGATTGTATTGTATTGAGACAATCCAACTTACTGTATTTAAAGTAAGGGTCGACCCCAAACATAGGCATTCCGTTGTACAAAGCTGCGTAGTAGGGTATATGTAGATCAAGGTGGTTCCTGCCCCCTAATGCTAGCACATCGCCTGGTTTCAGACCTAGCTTCCTGAAGCTCCTGGCTAGTTGAATGGAGCGAGACAGAACCGATGCATTTGTCTCTCTTTCTCCTGTAGCTGTGTCGATCTGGAAAATATATTATTATTGATACAAAGATTTGCCAATCTTTGGTTTTGGGTTTTGCACGACTTTTTTGGCATAGCGCCAATTAAAAGAGGGAGATTTTATAGAAATCTTCCTTTTTGTATTTTCAGTCAATTCGGCGAACGAATGATTTTGGACTTATAAAAGGTGGCACTAGAAGGTGTCTCTTTTTTCATTTTTCTTATTCCTTTTAAGACTACTTTTAAGACCGGTTATTCTACTGATAATGATGTTTATATTAAACATCATTATCAGTAGAATAACCGGTCATAAAGGCAGTCATTATATTTCCTTCATGCCGCTAGGCTTGTACCAGTGTCAGTTTTATAAGAATAATATAAAAATTATGGCGATAATCGGCAATGTCAGAGAATACAGAAGACATTTTATCGCATTACTTTATCACATCACACACATTTCATCGCTGCACTTTGGAGTTATATATTAAGCGATTGCATCCATGCTATTTGAAGTAATTTTGAATAACAATATTTTTGTTATAATTATTAGTAAACAAAGTTAGAAAAAATCTACTTCAATCGACGCCGAGACGAAATCCCTTTTTTACTCTTCAACCGCAATTAACAGGCAATTATATCTCAAAATGTAATTTATACACCGTTTTTTTAGTCATAAAATAAAGGTATAATTATATATTATCATATAATTATTTCTAATCATTCTGTTTTTGTATTTACTCTAAAGTTCACACAAGGAGGTTACGAGGTTTACGAATTTAGCCAACGACATCCAAACGTGTTAAACGGCAATCTCAAATATACTCAGTACAGTACTAAAAAAACTGACCTCAAAAGTCATTCAGCCTCTAGTTTGCAAATGGAATATTTTCTTTAAATTTAAATGGTGATCACTATTGAAGTACCCTCTTTCCAACAAAAAAAGAATCATCAAAATCGGTTCACAAATACTGTTTTCAAAAGTTATCGCGTAACACACGTACCTACAAAAAGACATACAGTAGAATTAAGAACCTCCTCCTTTTTTCGAAATCGGATAAAAAGTTACAAACAAAAGACCATTGTCCTGCCTAAACGTTGGCGTTCTTGACTTAAAGTATGGAAAAAAAGTTCTTGATCAATATGACAATATACCTCTAAATGGAAACTGACAGTGACCCAAGACTAGTGGCCGCCAATACGGAAATAATCTTATTAATAATAAGATCATTGCCATCGTTTTCTCACTATTTGTTATTTTTAGTCAAAAATAAAAGAGACGAAATTATGAATCAGCATGGTATTTTTTTTTATTAAATGGACTTGCTCTTGACCACCACCTAGCTCTGGAGCAAAGATAGGATCTACGATGGAACGAGGTTGCCCAGATGATGCCTATTCAATCGCAGAATTCGGAAATACAGACGCAGGCAGGGAATTCCAATCCTGGGCTGTGCGCATAATAAAAGATGATGAAAAGCGCTTAGTACGCCTGAAGGGAATATCGACCAAGTAAGGATGATATCCCGCCGTACGTCTGAATGTCCGATGGTAAAAGGGGACGGGCGGGATGGAGCTCTTGACCGCACTCACAGAAATATAGAAAACTGAGAAAACCGACAGACGGGCAACTTTGCGCCAGTGGGCCAAACTATGAACTTTAGATTCGAGTTATCTTCGCCAATAAGTCGTCTGGCTCTGCGCTCTTGAGAGCCTCAAGTTGATACTTCGCTGAGCCATCCCACAGGTGACTGCAGTACTCCTTGCAAGATTCCATTGTGCCTTGTATAAAGTTAAGAGCTATCCAGGCTTGAAATATCGCTTAACCTTATTAAGGATACCCAGTTTTTTGATTGCATAGATAATTATCGGACGTACATATGTACGAGTATATCTGATAATTAATATTATAGTTATCAAAGATAATAGATACCTTGTTAATGTCGAACCCTGTTCTTAAGATATTAGATTTAAAGCAATGCAACACTGTAATCTGCTGCCACGACAGCAGATCACACAACTATGTGGTTAAGCTGCCGATTTCATAGTAACAATAATCTGTACTAGCACACTGGACACTAGTTCTTGTGCAATTACTGTATCTAGGCAACCTCAAAGCGACAATTGGCTAAAGCACTAGATACGACGTCACGTGCAATTGCTGTTTCTATGTAATACGCGTCCGGTTGCAGTAACGCCGGACTGTGCATATACCATACCCCTATTGGCCAACCTAAATACATTTCCTTAACTATTCATTCTGGTTTTTTCCCTCCAATCCCTTAATTTTACTTCCTTTATTAATTTATTTATTATTACTACTATGTATAATTTATTTTATTATCCTACGAAAGTATATAAGTAATCTTATTATTATATGCAGACTGTTATCTACTAATGTGGAACGCGTTTTCTAATTTTGAGTAAGGTACGACATGGTCCAATTAGAGAAGGTAATAACAATCGGAGGTAAAAAGAACCTAGATCTTTAATTCTGTTGGCATTGACTCAGAGTTGTACCAAGTGGTGAGCACGACAAGTTAATTGCTGGCCATAGTGATGTACTGTGGCCGTGTGCACCGCACGCTCTGCACCACAGGTAAGGCACCGACACTGACCGCTACTGACATACTATCGTACTACTGACGTATTTAGTTTGTACTGGCGTATAAACTAGCTAGCTAACTAGAGAGCTATTAATATTGTGGAAAAAATGTGACGTGTAGACCACTTTTGCGCGGATAGCGTCAATTGTTTCAAGTTATCAATTTACTCTAACGTAAAAAAACTTTAAAGTGCTACATTTTAAATTTGGAATTTTTATGTTTATTGAACCTCACGACGTTATACCACCATGATATTCAATTAATTTTTATGTGAAGTTACTCCATTAGTTTGTTATAATTATTAATAACAAACATCAAACACTTGGAAAAACTTCGAAAAAAAAATTCGAACCAGCGCCCTCAGGTAATCCGTAAGTAACCCACAGTACGAACCAGCTGACCTTACGACTTTCTCTATGTATTGTGCTTATTGCAGTTTTTCACGACTTTTTTGCCGTAGCAGCATCTGTGACAAATTAATTAAAAATTTTCAAATCGATATCTAATTTACTATCTACAGGAAAACCACATAATCCCATCACTATGGAGTTTACACTTAGCGCAATAAACAAACAGTGTGTCAATTTCCATGAACACAGATCATCACACCGCTATATTTAGAACTTGTAAAGTGAGTTTTATGCCACTTCACTAGGCCTGGGCCACATGATGTGGTTCCCGTTATAAATAGAAATAGAAACAGTAAAGCCCCTTGAGAAAGAGTTTATCCAGGGAAGTACTGCCACCTTACCTATTTTTGCCGCCAAGCAGTAATGTGAACACTACTACGTTCCGGTTTTGAAGGGACTTTGGTGAGGTGAAACTACACGCATTTGGGTCTTTGTCAACTTCGTCTCACGGCGACCGGTACAGTGTAGGTGCCTCTCAGATCTTTGAGATTTAAAACTCTAAGTGGCATCGCAACTGTCATGGATAGGCGTGCCGCTTAGTAACAGGCGCACGACTCGTCTTGTCGCTTCATATCATAAAAAAAAGTTTAATTTACCACATCATATTTAAATATGCCTATACTGATATACTTGTGTCGTCATTGAATTTTGAACCTTCCGAAAACAATAAATCTATATACAAATAATAAAAGTAATTTAAAGTAATCGTCTAAAAAATCTAATATTCAATATTTTTACAGAAAAACAAACTTATTTTTAATATTTTCTTTGTATCAAAATTTTTTCAATATTTTCGAAAAACTGCCCAACACTACTCGTATGTACTACAGTGCAACGGAACAAGATCGGTTAATATGTATGTGGCTCCTCTTATATGTATATATAACTTTCCGGTTTAGAAGGGTAAGGGTGCTGGTGAAATTACAGGCACATGATTTGTCAACTTATGGCTCCTCAGATCTTTGCGATTTAAAGCTCTGAGTGGCACTGCAATTGTTATGGACAGGCGTGTAGCTTACCATCAGGCGCACGACTCCTTCGTCACTTGATATTATAAAAAAAACCGAAGATAGAGTCGTAATAAGCAAGTAACATAGAAAAAACATTTGTCGATTCGGAAACCTCATTTTATGAAGTCGGCTAAAAAATATGTATACATGAAATTTTATCTTTCTTATTTAACCAAAAAAAATTTTCGATTACTTTCGTTCATAAAATTTTCCCTGAAAAATACCTAAAAAAATTAAACCTAAATTAAACTAAACCTGAAAAATTGTCATTTTTGCAGATGTGGCTTTAATAATTATATCCAGCGTGCGAATTTGGTTCGTATCGTACTTACTTGAAAAATGCCATTAGGAGGTTTCCTCAGCAAGCAATCCAAGAGCATATTTCCAAGGTGATAGTTCTCTTCTTTGCATCTCTCCATGTAAAAATTGAACAACGACATTTTGGTGCAATTCCAAGCTTTCTAAAAATATATAGAAGTTGTCGTGATTCACTAATTATTCTAAGATAGATCCTTATCTACGTAGCACTTTCGTTTTTTTTTTTCAGAATTATAAATGTAACAAAATTTGGCGTAACGAGTGTAACAAATTAATCTATATCACCAAGTACATTACGAATGGTACAAAATGTTTAAATATCATAATTTTTCAAACGTAAAAGATTTATAGGTTGCAAATGTCAAAATAAAATATTCGTTTTAACTTTTATTTACGTAATGAAATAAACGAGCGAGAAACAATAATAACTATAAAGTCAGATCTATATGACACTTCTGTATTGAAAGATGTTTTTGTTATAACTGAGATCACAGCGGGTTTACTACTATAATATGGACTTTGCTCGTATTATCTGATCACTAAGAGATAACCAAACAAGCGACGGTGCATGAGATGAGACGATGTTACTAAACTTCACTAAAGAGGACGTTCTAAATTGGACTATTTATTTGTTTTTTTTTGTTTGAATGAACTATATCAAGTATTAGGTTTGTGCGATTAACACAGATAGAAGATGAAACTATTTTTTAACCGACTTCGTAAAAAGGAGGAATTCTAAATTCGATTGAATGTTTTTTTTATATGTTACGCGATAACTCGTTAACGATTTGTGAACCAATTTTGATGATTCTTTTTTGTTGGAAAGAGGGTACCTCAGCAGTGGTCTCATTTAAATTTGAAGACAGTATTCCACCTCCAAGGGCGGCAAACTAGGGGATGAATCCGATATCGCGCAATTTCGGGTAAACGATTGCAAAAAACTTGGCAAATAAATGTAATTCCACGCACTTTCAAGGTCGGTTTTTTTACTAAAAAAAAACACAAACAGAGTACTCTCTGTGCTGAGTTTATTTCGTATCGAAGTCGCGTATATTAGTTTTTACAAATAAAGCAATCTTTCGGGCACTTTATAATAGGTCCTGTAGCCACCGCTCTTTGTTGTCAACTGAGCTGCAGCAGGCTACAGTTACTCGAGACTCAGTCTATAGCTTATTTGGTAAGACGCTGGTTCGTCTCCATGCAGATCGAAAGATTTTTTCTTTTATTTCTAATTATTCTATATTTGTATCAATAACAATAGCAAACCATAGTCTATCTTTTTTGAAGATGGAGTAAAATGACAGTTCGCACTGCGCAAAAGTGTTGCCCGCTTGTAAATAGCTAGTGATTGCAGTCGATAAATATTCTATCGACTATCGACTGTATATTGGTCACGTTTATGCCATAAATAGCCGAAACTGTTTCATTTCAATCATCCTCGATTTCTGTTTCATTTCAATTCATCCAATTACTGCGCACGACTTCATTTGAATTATCAATTTTTGTAAGTTCATATACATATAGGTACAGACACTGTGTTTAGAAATGTTTATGAAAAATACAAAAAAGAAAAGACATATTTTAAAGTTTTTCATTTTAATTATATATAGATAATCAAATCCGGCTATTCTTGTTAAAACGTATATGAATAAAAATTGATCTCGTTATCAGCAAGCCAACTGTCAAAATATATATAAAGAAGGCAATAACACAATTAGTAATTATTAGAACGTCGTAACATTCACAATTCAGTCATTTTTGACAAAATTGTATCATCTTTCACAATCTATCGATAAAATTAACGACAACAACTTCATTATAACTATTAAAATTTTATGAAAACTGTCAACCCTACAAATGCCATTTTACTCCGTCTTCAAAAAAGACAGACTATAGTGGACTATTTCCAAAAATAAAAATACATGAATATCATGGTAGCATAGACATTATGATATTCAATAAAATATTAATTCAACTAATTTATTTATCTTCTTGTTGCAGTGCCCCTCCAACTAGTGAAGATTAGCCACCAATTCTGCATACTGCCCTCAGTGTCGCGGGATGTTAGTATTGTCAAGATACGGCAAATTTATTTTTAATTTACCAAAAAACATATTCCAATTGATTATGTAGGAATGTAGACACTAATATCTCAGTCAGCCGTGACCATCGGACCTAATACCGCCGTTATTAATATCTCGTGATAATTATATTTTACGCGTTAATGTTATGATAAATTACCGTTCTTATGAAAATGTCTAGTTTTTAGCGACATATTTATTTATTTACTCATGTTGCTATGGCAATAATATATGAAAAAAAAAAGGTTTTGGACGGGGTCCACAACAGTGCCTGTAAAAAGCTCGAAATGTTGGTTATGAAACAAAATATCGACGCCAGAAAGCGACGTTGTCGTATCTCGAAAAATAGGACTTCACATCAGGGCCGAAAAACTATTTCAAAACATTATTTCTCTTTAATTTGAATTGAAATTTAAGAAAAATAATTTTTTGAAACAGTTTTTCGGCCCTGGTCTAAAGACCGATTTTTCGAGATACGATAAGATCGCTTTCCGGCGTCGATATGTAATGCTATTTCAACTAAGAGGAACGTTACCTATGAAGAGCGATGGCGCACTGGCGCTGCCGATGCCGGTGCGTTATTTTTTCAACTTTAATCGACGCACCGAGTGCCACAACACGAGCAAGTGGTGTCGGAACATAACGCCGCCACCGCCGCCGCTTACTTACGCACTGGCCCCTTGTTCGATTCGTACACGTTCCGTCGTCGTGCGCCGTTTCAACGCACCATGTAGCATGTAGTTCTAGTTTATATTTAGTATACCAACGTCACCACTCAGGCGTCACAGCGCCGACACAATGCCGCGCCCGGTGTGGCATTGCTCGAACCAGCTTACTTTAGAAGAAACGCATGCGTTTCTTCTAAAGTAAGCATGCATTCTAGCGTTTTCCAATGGTTATAGACTAGGAATTAAACGGACAGTGATGTGGCCGGACGCGGCCTCCGGATATCAGACCCACTGCCGTAAACATGTCGCGACTGGTTTACAGCGCGTATTACCGTGATTGATTGATTAGTGAATTATTGCACTTTCGCATTGGCGATTTGATTTGTTGTGGTGGATAACCAAATAGGTATAGCTCTGCTATAGACAAAAATGTGTCTATAGTAGAGATGAAACGGATATCCGGTAACTATCCGGTATCCGGTTTATCCGGCCTATTTTTACTATTCGGACGCATTTTTGTCTTGCATTTCATCTTTATTCTATATGTATATTATTTTATTGTAACATATATGCATCTACACCAGTGTAATTATATCTAATTGAAGGCCTATCAATCCGGAAGTCAGTCTTACATTCATTGTAAAACTTCAATATCTATACATTTTGAAACCCATTCCCTATCTAACTCGAAAGTCAGTATGACTTTCAGATGAAAACATCAAGTCCATAGATTTATAGTAATTGAAAATGCATAGTACCTAATTGAATTTGACCTTTACGTTGAACATCAGACTAGCATTCAAGGTAGAAGGTTAACAGGCATGGCACTTGAATTACTGGGGAAATAAAAGATTAAGATACAGCAACACCTTCGTGACTCAGCTATTAACATTATGGGAGCATCACGAGGATGTCCCGAGTTCGACATCTGGTTTTTTAGATTTTTCTAAATTCATTTTAGTTTAATTCGTGACCATAGCTTGCAAATAATTGGTTACCTCATTTTCTAGGTCACTTGCACTTGCTCCAAATGTGTCGGGTTGATTGATGAACCTACCAAAAGATAATTGTACAGTGGCCTTAGTTTAGTTATTTAAGGAAACAAACAATCTTTTCTTGTCATATTATAAAAAACGTATCATTAATCTTAATTCTATGTCTATTGAAATACGGTTGATTTTGAACTCTATAAATGGTGATCTTATATTATGAATTGTATTAAAAATTAAATAGCAAAAAATTCCTTGTCTGTCACTTAGGATTTATAATAGGACTCTATATCGTCTATGAGACGTGACGTACAATTGTTGACTAATAATATTTATAACTACGTTACGCATGTATAGAATTATTGATATTTTTATTGATACTTTCATAGATTTGTCATAGATGGCGCTATGGCTAAAAAATCGTTGAAAACCAAATACAAAGATCCGGCAATAAGCACATACAAAAATTTGTGATGTCCACTGGTTCGCTCCGTGGCTTAGTTGGCATAGCGTCTGACACGGTTTCCAGGACGATTTAAAACAGGACGTAAATATTTTAAAACATTACTCAAAATTTAAAACATGCTCCCTGAAATATTTCGAAATTGTGCAAGGCTATAAAGGGTACTACCATTTGGCGCTCGTCACGCTGAGACAAAGTTGACAACTCCCATGTGTCTGTAATTTAACCAGCACCTTTCAAAACCGGAACGCAGTAATGCTCACATTACTGCTTGGCGGCAGAAATAGGTAAGGTGGCAGAACTTCCCTGGACTAACTTTGCATACAAGAAGTTGGATCGCATTGCGAACATTTGATAAACTAATTGCAAACACCGTAGATAATTATCTTTTATAATATCTTTTTATTCATCAGGTAGCGTAACTTATTTACTAAAAGTCGCCAAGTAGGTGTGCACGAGTGCGATTCGTAATATATAACAACAAATGACATATTTTTAGTCGATATAACGTTCAACAAATATAATTATTTTATGGTATACAGACATTTGACATATTATTGCATGATATAAAGGTCACTGAGTATAATAGACTATTGATATAACAACTTTCAATCTAATATACCGATGGCATAATGTTCATTTTATATAAACACTTCAGATATAACATTCGCTGAGTATAATGTTGACTGTGCATAGTCACACGTACCTCTGTGAAAAAAAAAATTAATATAATTCCAGTGGCGTTTAGGTGCAACGGCGAATGAACCGAATTTGTTTACACTGTTCCTTTGTTGTTCCTAGTTGGTTATACCTCCTTCTCTTGGGTTTAGATTAGGTTAGTATATGACAAAGCTGCCAGAACCGAATTTGTTTGCATTTGCTAGTTGATTCAACTTCCTCCTGTGGGTTTAGGTTAGGTTAGTATATGACAAAGCTACCAGAATTGAGTTTGTTTGCATTTGCTAGTTGGTTCGACCTCCTCCTGTGGGTTTAGGTTAGGTTAGTACGACAAAGCTGCCAGAACCGAATTTATTTGCATTTGCTAGTTGGTTCGACCTCCTCCTGTGGGTTTAGGGTAGGTTAATATACCACGAAGCTGCCAGAATCGAATTTGTTTGTATTTGGTAGTTGGTTCGACCTTCTCCTGTGGGTTTAGGTTAGGTTAGTACATGCAATTAAATATTTTGCTTAAATATATTTTATAACTCAAAAAGCACTTGAAGCTGTACAAAAACAATAACATTTTGCGATTGTACATTTAATGGAATAAAAAAAATCTTATCAACATAATGTAAGGCGCTTCAACTATTCGTAAAACGAAATATTGTGTCATATTATTTAATACATTATAGTGGTAGTACTTATACCATTTCTTTATTATGTCACTTAATCACTATATCTAATGTTTGTTATACTGCAGTTTCATTATACACATTGAAATTATGCCTTTTGTTGATTATATACAGTGAGTGATTATATTCTTAGAAATTATATCAAATGTTATTATACCAAGTGAAAATAGATTATTTGTTGTTATATCATCCATTACACACCCCCTGTGCACTCTGGCTTAATTATGCCTACTTTACTATATATTTTATAGCATTACATAGTATAATTGTAGTTACTAAATTGCATATAAAAATTATTTTAACATTTTAATGCATATTTACTTAATTTTGTGTCATTCCTTAGTCGAAGTCGTTATATATTTGTGGAACTAAATAACATCTTTTCCCATAATAGTTTAAACTGCACTAGTTTACCCTGAATTACTCTTTTTGTCATGTACCTATTCTTAAGCCTAACTTTGTAATTAACACTACTTATAGTAATTTTCCAACACTATCAAATATCTGCTCTTAATTTCTATTGCCATGACCTTACAGTAACTAAATAAGTGGTTGTATTCTGTGCCATTGCATTTTTGCTTCGCTTTTTTGCATATTAAATGTTTTATCAGCCTAATTTGTAACTTTCTGATTTCTTTTAGATAACTAGCAAAGGTACGGTACAAATACATTTAAATCCGTGTCTGAGAAGGGAGTCTGCCAATGCATAAATTGCATAATTGAATTGGAGCTGCTTTAAATTAAGATACTGTTACTTTTATGGATTTAATCCTTATAAAGACCCTTTCGATTGGCGTCATAAAAAACAGATTGTCTTATTTGGTGTTCGATTCCCTGATGAGGTAAACAACTTTTAAAAGTCTTTGAATACAGTATTGTCACAGACAAGGTAATTATGTCTGTGAGTATGACATACTTTTCCTGTGCTCATTTAAAATGGTTATAAATATATAGATATTTAATTTTTAACATTTTACTTTTAATTTACTACTTGTTTAGCGTTTATAGAGTAAGAGAACAATTTTACAATGTACAATGTGTACGTTTTTATATTATGAAATTATCCGTAGATACAATATTAGGTACCTCGATCGTGATCTCATCTTTATTGGACTACAAGGCTGAAAATCAACTTCAATTAAGTCGGCTTCATTAATCATGTCTGTGAAACAACACGTTTAACAAAATACAATACTTTACTAATTATTGTAGGTACTGTAACGACGTGCAATGGAGACTACTGTTACGAATTATCAACATACATGAGTACATTACTTCACGCCCTTTTCCCGTCGAGGTAGGTAGAACTAACAACCTTAATTGGACGTAGTTGGGTGAATTTCACATTCCGAATTTCAATGGCACTTTTTGAGTGATTTTTGTAAAACCCTTGTATCTTTTAGTTTTCAGGTCTTAAACGTACAAATAAGTTCAAGCAATGTCAATAATTATAAAATCACAGAAATATTCAAGTTAAATACAACAAAAAAACGATATTTTAGGTCACACGAATGAGATTGCATTAACACGAATGATTTTCTCATAAACACAAATGAGAAAGACGGCACAGTAATGAGAAATTATTATTACAACACACATTTTATCACAAAAGAACATTTAACATGTAACAAATATTAATATAACTTCTATCAAATTCCTTCTCGTCCGTGTAAGACCATCATCTATCAATATGTAATTAATAAATAAATCTAAATAAGTATTTTGTTAATGTCATATAAACTTTGTTGTACTTCAATATATCATCATCACCACCATCAAAATCATCATCATGGTCACCATTATCATCAGCATCATTACCACTCACATCATCATCATCATCATCATCATCATCGTCATCACCACCACTATCACCATCTCATTGTTATATTTCAAGTAAATGTTTGGCTTAAAGTAACTGTTTGACTTAAAAGTAGACAAGAATGAGAGCGACAATAATGATATTTGGATACATTTTTAATTGTCAGGGTGTAAAATATGCTGGACCGTTATAAAAGTGCATGGATTTTAAACTTCCCTTTGCCTAATTGATGTACAATAAAGTTTATAAAACTATTACTTAATACTTATTATACACGCAAAATAGGC